AGATGAACCATAAATGGTCAGTAGGCCCAAGATAGACACACCACCTTGTAGCACTCATCGGTCCTTGGCATGCCTCATATTACCCTGAGCCCCGAGCTTCAACTTTAGTGGCCCCCACACTTGTTGTCAAAATGCTTGTCCCATTTTGGATACCTTGCATAGTAGGGACCGTCTATATAGCAGGGACTCAACACACGAAGCATAACTTTGATAAGCTAACATATAGGTGCTGGTTCTCACGGAGGCGTAAACCAATTTTGTTTAGAAGTTTCTTGTCCATTTGATTCTCCACTACTTTATCACTAAAGCCCCTTTGTCCCTATTATGTATGAATTCCTGGTAGGCCTTTGGGGTCATCATGCGCCAGCCTTAAATCTTGAAGCCCCAAGCCAGAAGTCCTTAAGTCTGACAGGGGCCCGTAGGCGCGGGGTCTGGGGTTTAGGGTTTAGGGTTTAAGGGTTTAGGGCTTGAGGGTTTAGGGTTTAGGATGATCTCCGTATACACTCGTGGATGGTTATGTTTCAATAGATGCCGGCTGTCCGCTCAGTGCGCAGGGGCGACGGATTCGGGATTCAGGAACAAGGCTAGCCTGCGAGCTTCTGTTGTAAGGGGGCTTTATCTACCCCAGCACCTATAATACAAGGACCCTGTAACTATGCTATGAAGTCCCAGGTTGAGGGGCTGGGGTAGCTAGAATCCACCCTAAACCCTAAACCCCCTCATGGGATTCAGGGGTTTAACTGATCCAAGGCTCTCCTTTGCGGCCGTGAAGGCCAGCGGCATTATCGAGGTTGAGGCGGTCAATGGTGATCAGGACCAGTGTATCATGGTATCTTATAGTAGATTACAGTATATTGTGGTATGTTATAGTATGTTGTGGTATACTAGAGGGTAATATAGGCCCATGATTAATAAACCCCCTCCCCTTAATAGGAAGTATGATAGGGCTCCTAATATTAAGGATCTTCTTCATGCGAACCTTCCTCTGCAGGGGTTGTTATCGGAGACTCCCGATTCTTCCTTCAATGATGGTTTTCGGAGGTTAGGGTAGTTCCTGCGCACGCAATGCTTGATTTCATCATTCCTTGCCCTGTGCCAAATCCTGCAGATTTTTAGGGGGTATAGGCTCCCAGTACTCCCCACTGCTCCCTAAACCATTGGGCCCAATACCAATATGGGGGTAGTAACAATTTGGCAAGTGCTGCCTCCATAAATCCATGAGCTCCATATCAGACACAACAACTGATTCTGGCAGGAGATTTTGGCTATAGCCAAGACCAAGTCCATGGAAGTGCTCACACAGGCCTTATGGGCTGCGGAGTGATGAGGGGGTTAGGGTCAACGATTTGGGTTCGATCTGTCTCAGGTTCAAGGTTTGGTGTAACGTCAAAACATCACAGACATGCGGCTGTGGCGGCATCTACTCCAGCAAGTACTGTAACCGCATGCAGGAAAGACTTGATTCCTCACGCTTGCCTGATAGCATTTGGGCAGGTGCTAAAGTGAACCCTCAAGCTTCCGTTTGTCAGGATCCACTGTTTGAGACTGGAGTCTGAGATTGCCATCTCTTTAAAACCTGATCTTACGCTATAACTTCAGTTTCGGATTTTCATGGCATGTTTAGAACTCTTCATTGCACCTTGTGTCAAGTATATGGGCCGCTTCCTTGGTGGAATCAAGGACCAGCTGACTGCGCCACATTCTTTTTGAGAAAGTGAGAGGTCCCCCCCTGGGTTTGCAGCACTCGAGTCGAGAATTTCTAGATTTCAGAAAGTATTCTTGGAAGCAAGCTTGTGGGGTTTCCCCACATGAGGGGTACCCTGGGGGGGTCCCTACCATGAGGATTATAGTAGTTGGGGGTCTATATTGTTGGGTTCTGTATGGAAACTTTCATAAATTCTGGTGGATACTGCACCGGTTAGGTGGGTGGCGGTCTCGCCGACTGAAGTGCAAGTGCCAGGGGATATGTGAGCTATAGTCAAACTCCTTCAAGGGGCTTATATACGGGATTATACACGGGACTACTATAGAGGTTATGAAGGGGTATACTCGGAATTTAGACCATGGCTCATGTGAGGAGTCAGGTTTGGAGTGCGTAGGAAGTGAGGAATTAGCACACGCCATTTTTTCTCAGGCCTCCAACAGCAGGTGCCTGAGTTTCCGTTTTGGGCTAACAAAAGTCGAGGTTTTGGCGCATACTTAGATAACGGCAAGCCCGAAGCTCTAAACCTCGGATAGTGTCATAGTGTCCCCATATTACGCGTATAGTCTACTGACGACTAGAATTTCGGATGGATTGTCATAGGATGGGGGGCGGCGTCCAAATCCCGAACCCTCAACCCCAAATCTTCTGAAGTCCTAGCCTCGACAGCAAACCCTAAACTATAGCCCCCCTTAAGTAGATAGAATATGGGGTACATGGGGATCTTATTATAATATGCCCAAAGCCATATTCTATCTACTTAAGGGGGACGATAAACTTCCACAGGCAATAACCTACTGGACGATCGTGCTTTGCGAGGCACAGAAAGCTGTGGCCGATGTCGAGGCAGCCATTGAAAGGAAGCCGCGGCCCTATGGCTTCGAGGATGCTGCTTGTCAGCATTGCTTTGTTCCGGTGCTGTTTCCATCTGATTTTCCATTATCCATATACAACCCAAATATATACCAGAATATATTAGAGTAGTTTCTAGTTTATTTTGCTTAGAATGCTTGCAGCTTGGGATCTCTAAAGGTTTTAAGATTTTACGGCTAGCTTCGCTTGTCAAGGTCTTTGTTCACAGCCACTTCTCGCCTCCCTCTATGCCTGAGAGGTTGAAAAGCCTCGGCCCCCAGTCCCCAGTACGAGCATTGATTCCACAGCCCTCTGGACTATATGATGCATTTTTTACTCTCAGGAACCCCCCCCCCCAACCAAGAATCAACCTTATATTGCCTGGCTTGTTATTAGGTTTCGGAGTTTGGGGTAAAGGGCTTAGGGTAGGGAGGTAAAGCCATCCCTCCTGACCCCTTACATACTTCAGCCCTCTAATGGTCCATACTGGTTCCAAAGGTGATAGTGGGCATGATTAACTGCATATGAACTCTATACTCCGAGACCAAGCCCTGATCTCGTATACGACTGAGATTCCATGTAGTGTTTCATTTGTTTTCCATTTGAATCCCCGTTATGTGAGGATATTTAGCCCTAACATACACCTGCTAAGCATGGTTTAATACTTCAAGTATGCCAAAAAGCTGAGTCATTTGCTACCTTCCGTCACGGAGTGGATTAACCCGCAGCCCGAACACAGAACTGGCAACACGATGCCCAGGTCATAACCTCCACATAGTCCTTGTATATCCCTATAAAACCCCTACAAACCCCTCCACATCTGCCTATTAAACAATATGCATTTGGTAGTTCCCTTAAATGGGGCGGGGGCCAAAATAGACTCCAAATGCTACAATCCTTACTATGGGGACCCCCCAAAAAGGTACCCATGTGTTTGGTGGACCCCTAAACCCTAGATCCTAAACCTTGTACCCTAAATCCTACACCCTATATATCCTTATATATCCCTATATATCCCCTACACCCCTTTAAAGGACCCCATATGTATCCTGTTGCTCTTGCCCAGGCTTCTGTGCTGCCGCTGTTGGACCTGCAACAAGGGGCGGATGAAGCCCCTGCTGAGGAGATTGGGGGATTCTAGATTTGGGGGGTTTAAGGTTTAGGTCTTCCCAGAATTCGGAGTACCTTTTAAAGGAGGTTATAGCGGATGTAGCGGGGATATAAAGGTATATAGGGTTCAGGGATTAGGGTTTTGGGGTTTGCCAAAATTAGGGTTACTTTTTGGGGGTCTCATTATAAGGATCATCGTATGTTGGGATGTATATTGGGGTCCCATGTTTTTATGACGGCTACCATTGGGGTTCTGTGTAGCTGTTGTGGAACATTCAGACACAATCATTTTACGGATGTTTTTCTTGGGTTCCCTTAAGGCCCAAAGCTTTTGCGTTTAGGGGTTCAGATGTTGGGCCGAAGGTTAGGGTTTGGGAATTTGGGTGCTAGGGTACCTTGTCAGGATCATATCAGCTGGAGTCTAAACTTCCTGAAGGGGGTTCTATAGGGGATTATACAGGGGCTATTAAGAGGGAGACTAGGAGTTTAAACCATATAACATATCTTTTGATGAGGGATTCTTCTACCCTTCATAGGTTGGGCTTCATGGTTTGTATTCCAGATTGATTGTGGGTTTTGCCATCTGGGCATTTCCGAACATGCAGGCCTAGCTTCACAGCAACGATACTAGGGACCCCTGAAAAGGAGAATCACATAGTACATGAAGTTGAACAGGAAATGGGAACTGGGATCCATGCGCGGCTCTAAACCCTCTGCTTTCAACCTTATTCTTAAGTGAGGTACCTCGGGTGGCTCGTCAAGAGCGGTCGGCTGGCAACAGGAGAGGTAACCATCGAGGCGGAGGAGGCGCTCTACAGCCGGGAGATGCTCAACGCCTACTTCGCCCACCTGGAAACGGCCGACACGATCCGGAAGAAGCCTTTTCTGCCAGGCACCATCGGCCTCATTACGAGGTCTCTGGTCTCTTGCTTCCAGGACTCAGGGTTCCCAACTAGGTATATATTCCATTATTAACCTCATCCTGCTAGGTATCCATTTTCAACCTTATCTTGGCACCTTCCCGTTTTCAACTTTATCTTGTCAGCATTCAGGCCACATCAGCGGCACATCCGGGCCCTGGGGAAGACATGCCAGGAGAAACGAGCGATTGAAGGACAGGGCGTCAGCAAAGACTCCAAGGACGGAGTCTTGCAAAACCAGCCTCTCACAGCATCCCAGATCGCGGCAACCATGAAGGGCTTTGAGCGCAGGATGCACCAGCTGAAGAGGAAAATCGCAGGCCCTGGGACCAGACGAGCCAAGCAAGAACGTTAACTACATGAGGTTCAGGCTCGCCAGGCAGAATGCTGCCTATCTGGCCGCGAGATTCAGCCAGGAGACCTGCGAACGCGTGGGCGTCGCCCATGGATTGGTGCGGGTTTGAAACTAATAATGCTAGATAAGGTTCAAAAGGCTTTCCATCTTCTCGTTCAGGTTTTTTTCACCTTATTGTTTTGTATTTGTAGGTCCTCAACCGGAACCTGCTCCTCGACAGCGGGGAGGGGACCTTGGAGTACCTGCCCATCGGCATCAGCCCGCGGAAGACGGAAAAAGCGAAAAGGCTGAGGAGGCACTACATCGCAGGCAAAACGTCCTTGTCGCAAGATCTCCGCCAGCAGATGCTCAAGTTCCTGGAAGAGGACGGGCCAGCTCTCAACTGCTACCATGGCCCGGCAGACACCCGGCCAGAACTATCGCCCCCAGCTGTGGCGGGCGTGGGAGAAAAGTCCCTCTCCGGAATGCTTGAGACGGGAGTGTTCCGCAAACAAATTTCTGCTGTGGTCAAGTGCCGCACGACCGATATTAGGGCTGCCAGCGAGGATCACCTCATAGGTGATCCGACGGTGGTGGGCAGTCTGCGGAATAGCTGAAGTTTGGAGAATTTTGTGAACCTTTCTCCAGGTATTTCCTTGAAGCACTACCAGGTCACCGACTCAGGACGTTTGAGTCGCAAGCTTGGGAAGCTCATGGCCAAGACGCCGTAATTGTGTTGTTTTCAACCTCCTCCTTGGACATCCGCTTGATTATTTTCAACCTTATTCTAGGAATACCTGGGTCATTTCAACCTTGCTCTAAGCATTTTGAACCTTACTCTGGGCTGTTTGAACCTTGTTCTGGTTATTCTAGGCATTTTGCAACCTTTCTCATGCAAAATAGGCTTCAAGACTCTATGATTTCAAGTCCAAGGCCGAGGGACAGAGCAAGAAATGACTGGTGTGTACCTATCAATCCTGGAGCATTCTGGAGCAGGAAGCCGGAGAGCTTTCGAGCAGGAATTCTGGAGCAGGAAGCCGGAGAGCCACAAAGAGAGCGGAGACGGCTGCCGGTGCTTGTGACAAAAAGCGCTTTGCAGCCTTCAGTGGCCAACTGTCATGCTGCTGCTCTTGGACTTACACCACGGCAATTGAAGTTTAGTGGTTGACTTCCTTCTTCCAGATGAACTACGTGCTGCTCTGGCTAGTCGTCTGGGGTTGTAGCTTGTTTGTGCAGCTTCTGTGCTACGTAGCTTGGACCGGACGGTGCTTGCCGTGCCTGCCTTGAGCGATGCGCTTGTCTAAGTCCTAGCTCACATCTCTGGATTGCTGGTAAGGAACTTATTTTGAGTTACTATATTGGGGAAGCCCTATTATTTGCCCATATATACCCGTTAGTATAACTTAATTTAAGCTCCTCAATCGCAACCCAGATCTACAGCTGGAGGTTCTCAAGGGCAGGCAACGCACATGAGAAGCTCATGATCTGGCCACAGGGCCCGGCATGGTTCAGGGCTGCTTCAAAGTTCACAGGTAAATAAAAGTCCAATTATGAACTCTCTAAGCTAGATCACAGTTATAATTTCCTGATCGCTTCCGCACTTCCACCGACCCGTAAACCTCTAAATGGGTATCTTCTGCAGGTTCAGCTGTGCATGAGTAGTGACAGCCATTTTGCAAACTATGTGCAATCTGGAGTCATCGACATGCTCGTTGTGTACTGAAGCGCAGTGAGAGAAAGCTCAGATGCTCCAAGGTTGGAGCGTGAAGGTCCAAGGTAGTAGCGTAGTCTAAACAGAGGCACATCCAAACCTTGAAGCCCATACACCTCCGTGTGCCTTTTACCACCCTCCCCCCCCAAAAAAAACGAGCCAACATTTTCGCGCGCTTCAGAAGGATTGGGGTCTCCACCCCTTCTTCGAAAGATTGCTGAGGCTCAAAAAGATTTCTTGTGGGTATCTCAAGATGTGTGGTGTTTTCTAGGAATTCCGCGCTATGAGAAACAGCGTTTGTGTTTTGCAGGTGCAAGAGACCTGATACTACCTTCCCTCTCGTAATAACTTTCCGAATTCTACTAGGTAATAATAGTATGTTGGGGGGCTTTCATATAGGGGGATGTGGGGGTTTGAGTACTTGGGGAAGGTACTTAAGAGTTCAACTGCAAGATTGTCTGCATGAGCCTTGGGTTGGCCGACGGTGTAGGGTTTGGTTCAGGGTCGGTACATGGGGGCTTTTTCAAAACAAAGGCGCTCAGGGGACCGTAGGGTTTTGTTGTTTGAAGATTGGAAGTCCAGGGTCATGTTGAGAAACTCCCATATAAAAATTGTCTTGATTAATGCAACGGGGTTGTGATCTTTGAGCTGCAACCATGGGACATGTGTCCGTATTCGTATCCCGGAGAACTGTACTGAAGGCAAACGATGATTTGTGCACTTAGCTTACGTAGGTTGGAGAGGGGCTCCGTATCCGCCTGCCCCGTATCTCCTGAACGCCAGGTAGAACAAGAGCCTAAACTGGATTCTTAAGCCTGCAAAGGCCCAATATGGATCGAGCAAGCTACGACAAGGAGACTGCAACGCTCTACAGAAAAATGATTCCACTAAAACATGAGGTAGCCCACGAAGGGAAAACAGCTAGAACCCTAGCAAAGAAGGACCAGAACCGGCCCTGTCTTGCGTCCACTTTTGAAGGTATGGATTCCTTAATTATAAATGCTAGGGTAATAGGGACTTGGCGAGCCGTAGCCAGTAACGACCTTAAATCCAAACCCTCCGTTGGCATCTCTGTATGCTGCATGTACCCATGAAAATGACTATGTCACTTACGCCGCTGTGCAGGGAGCAGCGGAGCCCTGGACAGAAAGTTGGCATTCCCCTGCTGGTGCCTCGCCTAAATTAAACAAAACGAATCACGACTGAATCTAGGGCTCAGCGATTAGGAATTAGTGTTTAACGGATTAAAGTCTAGGGATTAGCGGGATAGGGGTGGGGGGGGCGGATATTTCATGTGTTGAGGTTTGCTGATGGGGTGTTCAGTCTTTGTTTCAGACAAAAGCTGGTCTAGTGAAGGTGCGACCTCGTTGCGAAACATAGTCCCAGTATCCGAGCCCTAATCACTAAACCGTGCGGAAAGCCAATGGGCTGGACCATTCCTGCTAAAGGAGGTACTGCAAACATATCCTAAAAAACAAAGCACAACTAAGCTGCAAATTGCAACTTGCGGTTCCGTAGCATTAGTTACCATCAGGTATTACATTTCTGCTGCGGGAGTCCATACGTAGCCTGAGCTCATCCGACAACTCACCAGTGCTGACAAACATCAATGACAAACATCAATTTGTTTTCCTCTTACACTCTAAACCCTAAACGAACCTTAAATCCTAAACCTTACCCCGTTGGTGCACATGTATCTGACCTCAAAACTTGAGCCCCGCGCAGCTGACGCGCCGTGTAGTCGGTTCTTATAGAAGTGTCGTTATATCTTGGGTCCGCTCAGGCGGGTCTTGCAGTAAGGATCCCAATGCTTTGGCTGCAAAGGGGGAGGCCCGCCTGTAGAGCTAGGGCGAAGAGCTTAAGAATTTCTGATGAGAGCTTCCTGGACATCAGAGGTAGATAAGAGCAACGGTCCAAAGCCCATATTATAAGCAATAGCCAACAGGGCAAATATTCTGAGCTTTCTAACCCGCATTGGTCTTTGGCACTGTGTGGCAGTCCACTTGTTGAGCTGCAATGGGGTCAACCTTCTGACAGCCGCTCCACCTCTAGGCCAGAATCAAGCCATCTCCTCTGCACCCAAACAGCTTTTTATGGACATCCAAGGAAGTCTTCCACAGCCCTTGAAACCTTAAACCCGAACAACCTCAGACAGTTGCTCGCCTTCAGAAGAAACCTTATCGTACACGATGGCAGTTTTCAACAGCAGTGGTTCCCCCTGCTATACTCCCAAACACATACTACTTAACTTATGGACCCCCCCCCCAAAAAAAAAAGTGCACCCAGTTTTGGAAAAGTTCCCAAATTCACGCAACGGCCCAGGTGCCCATCAACCTCCTAGCAATGCCGGAGCTCATATGAGAAGTTTCCCTTAAATTATCGTAGGTATGTCTACTACCGGAGGTGTGGCAGTTAATCGGCTGTAGCGCAAGAGTCAAGGTTTTAGGAAACCATCATCACTTTAGAGACTTGAGCGCAATCATCACTGTAAGCTCATCTCTTTGCAGCTTGCACGGTTCTTGCTACTGAGGTTTCCGCTGTTCTATGCTCATGATTCTATGCTCATGGTCACATTACTGTTGGCCTGCGAGATCAGCGTGCAAGTCTAGTGTTTGTCATTTGTTGTGCACAGGGTCCTTGTGGTGGGCGGATTTAGAGCTTTGGCGTGGGATTTGACGATTGGGTTTCAGATATCAGCCCAAACCCTTAAGACTCTGCCGTCTCCAGAAGCACGATGCCCCTAAACTCTTCCGATCTATAACCCCACATGGGAGTTTCCCAACATAGGGGGCCCCGTTATGGACCCTAGAACAGCATAGTCCTGATTATATAGGGGCCCCCAAAATGGGACCCCTGATTTTTGGAATTGGAAACCTCCCCATATTGTGTTCATTGGATACACTTGAGTGGCCACCATGATATCCAGAGTGCGGCATGCAGGGAGGGATTTCTGGTTGGCCGCTTGTGCATTCTGTTATTGTAGCGGTTTGTATTGGCCGTAGTATTCCATGATCATGACTATGACTGTTTTGACCATTGCTGCTACCGTTATTGATAATGTACCTACCGTGTTACGACGTTATTCTCAAGGCAGCATGCCAATTTCCCGGCTAGAGGGCTTGGAATTGGAAGCAAAAGCCCAGTCGCACAAGCGCGAAGCATAAGCTTTACGCAGGGAACCCTGAATCGCGTGGATTGTACTTTATGGGCGAACTGCATTGCAACGGCGACAAGTCTCGTACAGCTAGGGCAACCGCAGTGCCTCTTCAAGGTGCGTTCCCAACTTCTTTTGTCTCCCTAAGCCCTAAACCTAAAACTTCGCAGGAGAGCATTCAAGACCTGGAGGGCGCAATTCGAGCCCTGCGCCTTGCAGAGGACTGTCTTCGGAAGTCAGTCCAGGAAATTGGCCAGGGGCTAGAAAGCCATGGGGCTTTGGGACTAGCTTTTGAGTTTGGAAAGTAAAGGATGGCGACGGGGCCGAGGGTGTGTCCTGGGCTCGGCTTAGGGTTAATGGCTCTAGAATTTCTTCCCTGATCCCAAAACCATGAAACCCTGAATCTTGATTTTTCTAGAGTATATGGCCCTGAATCCTGAACCTTCAACCTTGAACCCTCAACCTCAAATCCTACAACCCTGAACGGCGACCCAATGTTCAGGAGCTCTGTGCCAAGCTCTGCTTCGTTGGCCAGGAACGTTGCAAGCTCCTTGAATGATTGGAAACCTGGAATCCGAAACTAGGGTTTAGGGTTACTGGTTCCTAGTAGGGAGTAAGGGAATTTGGTCCCTACATAATCCATATACAATATATTCCCTTATTCCCTACTAGGAATCAGTAAGTAAACCTCGAAGTGTTGCTATGAGCTTCAATGCCACTCCACCACG